CAGCAGGAACAGCAGCTGTCTCAATGCTCTAAGCTGTGCAGGCGGCAAGGGCCACAGGAACAGCACAAGCCGCAACCCTTGTGCTCTTGGACCGATTACAAGTGAGTCAGGGACAACGTTGATACTCATTTAAAGAAACGTCCAAGCCAACCCTCAGCACGTGTGATGGATTTCCACAGAAGGTGAGAGAGTGCAACCGACACTTGTGTGTTCAGAGAGGTGAAGCCCCGGGTTGGTGGTGAGGAACTGGACTGGATAATTAGAGGGAGGCCTGGCTGTCCAAAGACCTGGAAGCCACGTGGGGAATAACGGTGGATTCTACACCACTCCAGGTTCCTTCTACATAAGGAACAATACACAAGGAACAGCCATGTAAGGAATGCAGTGAGGAGTTGGGAGAAAGCCCACGAAGCCTAGAAGGGGGCTCTACTCCCTCCTTACCTCTCCCCCAATGGTCCTCAGTGGCCTGGAGAGGGTCGTGTCTATTAGTGTCCCCGCCTGACTCTCCGGTAGGATGTGGGGTGATACCACTTTGCCTCTGCCTGGTCTTCATTCATATGAAACCAGCTGGTCCCTCAAACTGCAGTATGCGTAAGACTTACAGTGGGAATCACGGATAAAAGCTGGTCTCTGAGCCATCCTGGTCTGGGGAAGGGTCCAGGAGTCTGTATTTTTTTTTTTTTTTTTTGCCGTACTCGGGCCTCTCACTGTTGTGGCCTCTCCCGTTGCGGAGCACAGGCTCCGGACGCGCAGGCTCAGCGGCCGTGGCTCACGGGCCCGGCCGCTCCGCGGCACGTGGGATCTTCCCGGACCGGGACACGAACCCGCGTCCCCTGCATCGACAGGCGGACTCTCAACCACTGCGCCACCAGGGAAGCCCAAGGAGTCTGTATTTTTAACAAGCTGCCCCAAGTGATTCCGATGCGGCTGGCAGTGCAACATATTATAGTGGGTTGGCCCAAAAGTTCGTTCCGGTTTTTCTGTAACATCTTACGGAAAAACCCGAACGAACTTTTGGGCCAACCCAACACTTGGAGGACAACTGCACGGGCTGACTTCAGAGGAAGGAAGAAGGAAGAGATTCTGCTACTTGTTTGTTAACGGCTGACTTCGGATGTCTGCAACAGCCCCAGCTGAGCAGTGATTTTCACTTAATGAGCAAATGAGCAGAGGAGAGAAAAAGATCATCCCCTGCACTGGGGATGGGTAGGGAGGGAACGATTGGGAAGCAGAGAGTCAAAATCAGGGAAACACAGATGAAGTGAGGGGGTGAAGAAGAAAAAGAGAGCAAGGACGTTCGTTCAGAAAGGCCACTTTATTGATGGAGATAAAACTGAAAGGAGTCCTCCACAGCCCTCCCTCACTCGTTTCAGTGGCTTCACTGGGCATCTGAGGCCAGCGTGGGCAGGCCTGTCACTGGCACAGGATGGGCAGCTCAGCCGGCCCCACGCTGCCTGCTCCACGTCAGGCGGCCACATAAAAACACATCACAGCTCGTGAAGCTTCGTGGGTGCACCTCAGAATCCCCCAAACAGTTCCCGTGCACGTTTTTTTTTTTTTTTTTTTACTATTGTACAAAATATGTTAAGTAGGAAAGGTCAGCTGTGCTGTGACATCTGCAGGATGTCCTTTGAGGATTACCATCCCCCAAACATTACTTCTTATTGCAGTGAAACCTCTAGAAGGTAGAGCTGTACAAAAAAAAAAAAAAAAAATCTAAACAATTTTATTTTAAGAAGAGCAGCAACTTAATACTGCTTTAGTTCATTTAAATTTTCTTTCTCAAAAATACATTCCTAAATATACAAACTATACAATCTTGTCATTGTAATGCTGGTTTTTTTGTGTTTTGTTTGTTTGTTTGTTTTTTTAATAATAGAACCCAAACTAAAAAAATCTGTTTGTCTTCAAACCGACAAGAGTGCTAGAGGACTCGTGACTCAGTACCTTCATATAACACCACATAAATAAATTTAGCCACAGTCTAGGTTCACAGCCTGGTCAGTGGAACAAAGGAAATACTTTTCTGGCGATTAGACGTCATCCGCAGAGAGGGTCGGGATATTCAACCGAGGCCGGGTGAAAAATGCCATCTTCTCCCTGTAAAAGAGGCCATCCCTTTAAAGCAGGGTTTTTCAACCTCACTTTATAGGTATAATGGGCAGGATAATTTTTTTGTGGTGAGGCTGTCCTGTGCATGTAAGATGTTTAGCAGCATCCCTGGCCTCCACCCACTAGATGCCAGCTGCAAGCTCTCCCACCCCTCCTTCCAGTTCTGACAATCAAAAATGTCCCTAGGGACTTCCCTGGGGGCGCGGTGGTTAAGAATCTGCCTGCCAATGCAGGGGACATGGGTTCAATCCCTGGTCCGGGAAGATCCCACATGCCGCGGAGCAACTAAGCACGTGTGCCACAACTACTGAGCTCACATGCCACAACTACTGAAGCCCGCACGCTCTAGGGCCTGTGCTCCAAGAGAAGCCACCGCAATGAGAAGCCCACACACCGCAACCAAGAGCAGCCCCCGCTCGCCACAACTAGAGAAAAGCCCGCGCACAGCAACAAAGACCCAACACAGCACCCCCCCCCCCAAAAAATAGTCCCTAGACACTGCCAAACGTCCCCCAGGGGCCCAAATCATCCCTGATTGAGAACCACTGCTATAGGGGACATTAGCAGGCCCAGCCACCTTCAGTTCCAATCAGAGGCCTCCAGAGTCTAAAAGGGCCCTTGGGCCACTTCCACTGTTGGTTTGTTTTAGATTTCCAATTGGTTAGAAATTAAGGGATGTCCAAATGTGGTTAGACAAATGACAGTATATTTTACACGTTTATATTCCACAGAGGGATGTGTTTTAGCACATACACAAACATGAGTATCTTTTCTGAGAGGACAACGCGAGTCTAAATGCAAAGCCCTCTGTGAATGGGAGGCCCAGGCCGAATGGCGGGTGGCGCCCTCCCGTGACACGCCTGGGTCCAGGGCGGCAAGAAGGCATCTCCCCGGGATCCCGGCAGGCAGCAGGCATAGCTAGGGAGGCCCGGCAAGCATCCATCACTCCCAGGCGTATTTATCATTCAGCCAATCCTCTGCAATTACTGGGGATGGAAACGCTAAGAGGAAAGGGTGGAGCAGGTGGCTCATTCATTAAACAAGAGGATCTCACACATTAGCTCGAGTTGTGTGGGGACTGACCAAGACAGCTGAGGGAAAGCACCGCAGGGCTCACAGACTGCCGGGGACGGCTCGGCAGAGGGTGAACATCTGCTACGGAGAGAGCTGGGGCTCTGCTATGGAAGGGAGCGTGGGATGGGGAGCAGCGAGGCAGAGCAAAGAAGACGGAGGCTGGGCGGGCAGGGTGGGAGAGGGAAAGCCGGCTGGCCGGGCGCCCACTTGCTGACCTGAAAGACTGCACTTCTGGGGGCTCCTTACAGCTCTGGCCTCGAAGCCTGTGCACGTCCTTGGCAGCCGACCTCATCATCTTGTCTGTCTGAAGCTCGCCCTTGTGCTCTGCTCGGTCCATCTGGAGGGCAAAGTGAGGTAGCAGAGAGTCCTTAGAGTCTCTAGAAATGGGTCAGCCACGGGGAACTTTCTAGCACAAAGGAGGAGTCTGCTGCAGTTAAAAGGTTTGAGGGTCACAGAATAGGCACCCTGACGCTTCCTGTTCCACCATAGGATCCTCTTTATCCCGAACAATGAGGGGAAGTGATCCCATCATCTGTCAGACAGGACAGGTTTTTGGGGCCAGGAACTGAATACCTGCGGGGAGCTGTCAGAAGTAAGGAGACAGGGGCTACCAGGTAAAATGTGTGCTGCCTCTCTAATTCTCAGGGCCACCTAAGAAGGTAAATTTTAAAATTACCTCTGTATTACAGATGAGGAAACTAAGGCTCAGGCATGTGAAGAAACTTCTTTAACGTCAAGCCAGTGAGAAACGGTGGAAAACGAATTCCAAGTCATGCAGTTGTGCTCAAGGGCTTTAGGAACGTTACACTCTT